TGTCTACTACAAAGTTTTAAACTTGTCACTTTATATAAAAGAAATACTAAGTTATTTATTCTTGAGTTGAATATGATGATGAAATTGATTTGATTTTGAAAGAAATAAAAAACTTATTTCTTTAAAAATCTCGAGCATATTCTTATAATAAGCTTGAGTGGAATATTGTCATGAAATATGAAATACAATTTTCAATTGAAAACCATATTTGTAAACTAGTTAAGTTACTAAGCTTTGATTCATGATAAGTAAATGTCAAATTTAAAATATAATATAACAAATAAAGAGTGAAAAATCTACAAAGCCAAGATAATACATATAATTTTTTTTAAAAAATGTTAATTTCAATAGAAAATATATGTTATAAAAATATTTTTTTAAATAAAATTTACATTTGTTCAATATGTAATTTAGTTATATATTAGATAGAATTAATCACAATAATATTAAAAAATACTTAGTGAAATTTTTTGGGAGTGGCTAGTTATTCCTCACTTCTAGCTAATTAGCCCTCACCCTACTCTACACTCTTCTGTGATTGATTGATGCAAGGTTATAAGATGAAGCGTTGCTACTTTTAAAATAGACTATTTTTCTTGAGTTGGCAAATTTTCTTTCTTTCTCTTCGACGTCAAAGTTGTCTACGTGGCAGACGCCACGTCAAAGTCGCCTCCATGGCTCAATTTTCGGAAAGATCTGAACTTGGTAGAAGTTCTTAGAAGCAATTGTGCTTCTAAGATGACTCTGCTTTGAAACGACGATATCAAAGTACGCAACTGCGACCGTGAAGTAAGATTACGAACATGAAGTAGGCAACGATCTGTTGGAGGCATCATTAAAGTCTGATCAACATTTTTTTGGCATGGATGCAAGCATTGAGCATGATTAATCGATGGTCTAGTCTTTCATAGAGTATGAGAATGGAATGAGAATTGATCCGACGAATGATCTTTAAAATTGTGTAGCCTCAATTCTTTCTTTGCTTTCAACCTCAACTCGAAAGTAATGTAAACTTTATAAAAAAAATTGGTAATAAATAGACAGACATTGACATCTGAGTAAGACTATACATTATAAGTTGATTCGGTCTGAAGAGGATTGATATGTGGATGATCATGATAATTTGAGTGTTTTCATGCCCAATCATTCTTGCACGTTGAGTTGAAAGTGGAATTGGCAGACACCACGGAGGCGACTTTGACATAGAGGAGTAAGAAAAAAAACCGCCAACTTAGGAAGAACACCATATATTAGAAGTAACAATGTTATCATATAACCGTGCATTGACCAATCACAGAAGAGCGTATAGTAGGATAAGGGCTAATTAGCCAAAAGTGAGGTATAACTAGTTGCTCTCATTCTTTTTAAACATGAGATAATCAATTAGGTTAAAAAATTTAGGTGAAAAATTATTGATTTGTAAGTATTTAAAATTATTTTACGCACAAAATAAACTCATCTATAATATGATGCAACGTTTGAGTATATTATGAAAACACAAATTCTTTGATAAAAAATGTTAGTTTTATTTAGAAATTTGATAAATGGAATATTTTTATTCATCAATTTATAATTTCATGTGAATATCATGTTCAATTTACAAAAAAAAGATTGACGTTGATGGATGAATATCAATGAAAAAATGCATTTAAAATAAAAATTTGATATGTGTAGTCTCATATGAATCGTTTGTCTTCCATATCTTATAATATTTATCCAAGATAATATTATTTTTGAATGTTCACATAGAATGCTTTAATCAATTCAACAATGGTTTATTTGAGATGACAATTCAGAAAATTATTTTTGAATCGTCAAAAAGATGATTGAATATTAAAGTTTAAATGTATTTGAAAAAAAAAGAGCTATGATGACTAAAAGTCAAGTTTATTCAAAATGTGATTAACAAGTTGCAAAAAAAGCAACGTAAAACACATAAAAGATTTTAACATAAATCAAACATAACACATTTTGAAGTAATTTCAATTTCATCCTTAACTATTTAAGTATTATTAATAATTTTGATATAGCTCAATCTATAGTTAAAATGACTTGATTCATGTAATATAAAAAAAATGCATCAATAAACTTCAAAGTTAATTTTCATACAAGATAAGAGTACATATATTATGATATTTAATTTGATGATTTATTGTACAATGTCAAAAGTTTCTTAGTCTACATTGATGTTGACTATGGACAAAATCTAAAAATAAATAAATCTACAATTGAATTTTCATGTATACTTGGAGATATATGCAGATGAAAATCTACACAAATCAAATATGCTAGATATTCTTTTTCAATGCTAAATTTTGATTCAATTTTTTATTTTTGTCCAGATGAACAAATGTTTGATTTTCAAAGTTAAATTTATGCTATAGGATAATGAAAAGTTGTGTGCATTTGTTGTTTTGCATTAGAATTAACATTTTTCTTGTTAGATATAATACTAATAGATTAAAGTCAAATTTTAAAAAAAATTAAAAAAATATATAAATGTACATAGAAATTTGATCTTGTGTTTGATACATAATTATACAATGTCATAATATTGATATTTAATGTAAATGATAATTTCAACAATATTCTCCCGTGGATAAATCTACAACTAGATTTGTGTTTACACTTGAAGATGTAAGCATAGGTTGATAATCTAAGTTAGTTCATTTCAGATGTTAAGTCTAGAGAGAAAAATGAATATTGATTATCAAAATTTGACATCAAGATGAAATGTATATTCATGTTACAATGAAAGTGCTTTAGTTGCAGTCATGAATAAGATAAACCTAAAAAAACGTATAAACATCAAATTTTGATTTTTTACATGTTATTCTAAATAAAATAATTGAGCTAGTGAAAATTGATGATAAAATCAATACAATTGATGACTTACATTATTTTTTGGTAAAAGAAATTTAAACATTAATGAAAAAAATTGCAGATTTTGCATATACATACAAGTAGATAACAACTATGTTACTATTTATATATATATAACATATAAATGATAGTATGAATTCTTTGTGACAATTTATTCTGTGTATGTTGTGGATATAGTCTTGTTGAGACAAATTACGCCTTTTTTTTTGGCCAATTCTTTGAAATGTGAATATCAATCTTGAGCTAAATCCTGTAACAAACTTATAAAAAATTTGTTTTATATGAATCTCAAGAAGTCAAATTCTTTTTAGCAAATTTTTGATAGTTTAGTTTTTGATAGTTACAACATTTGATTTATTTATGCTCTGAAGAATTTTTTTCAGCATAGCAATATATATATATATATATATATATATATTGCTTGCTATGCTGAAAAAATGATGGAATGATTTCAACATATGTCATAAATCATTTGGTATTTATAATTATGTTCATTTCTTGACTAGTTATAATATACAAGCTTAATTCTCATTATCCTCTGCATTCTGCATATACTTGTACTTCTTTCTTTCGTTTTATTTTACTTATCTATTTCTCCCCGTTTCCATTCTTCTAGGCTTTCTTTACCTTCATTTCCTTGTTTAGGTAAATAATGAAATAATAAAACCAACATGAAGCAGTACAAGGTAAGGAACAATGAAAAAAGTAATTCTATTGGCTAGTATTATGCGTTGTCGGGTTGGTCACTAGGCAATATTGGAAAAAATTGGTATTGTTTGGACTTGCCTCGCAAGTTTTACCTTATGATTTGTTGTATTATTTTTTCCATCTTTTACCAAATTAAAAACCATTCATCGGCTGAAATCGCCATTTAACCATGTCATATTCAGGCTTTTGAGATTCGCCAGCTTGATTAGGTGGTGGAAGTAAGTGGGACTGATTGAGAATGCGTCACATTGTTGGGGTGGCAATATCCAACATACTATTATGAAAGGCACTGATTATCTACTGTCTCAAATACAGTAGGAACTGATGCAAATCTGACAATGAACTTTTCTGCAATGTTGTGAAGTACTCGTATCAAACAACAACAAGAAATACACTGACTCTCTGGTGACTCAAATGGAGTACGAACTCGAGGAACAAAACATTCCTTCCATACTGATTCCTACCATATCGAGCAAACAGAAGACAATCCCAGATTTTAATCCTAGCCATTTGGGAAGAAGAAAATCAGGCAAAGTTGACAATGGCCTTTATTTCGAATTTTGTAGAATGTGCATATTTATACAAGCGCTCGACGAGGAAATTACTTGAAAACAAGTTCAAACATTGCGTTTACTCCTGTCTGTGAGCTACGATGATAAGACAAGCAGGCTTGATCCTGAACGCTCTATTTCTGCTCTCATCTAAGACAGACACGAGTTCATGACCCGTATACGTGGCGGAAGACTACAGAAAAAAAAACAGAAAGAGGTATGAACTAATAAGCGCAACGATGCTTGACCTTCGTTATCTGGCACAATATTTACAAATCAATCGGCTGACGTGGCCATGCAACAAAACCGTGTATGGGTAACACCTGGCTATCTCAAGTCCCTTCTCAGGCCATGATACTCTACTCTGTCAAGTTTTAGTTTTTCCCTACGTTATGACAATAAAATAACTGTAAAAACTTCAATGTCTGTAGAGCCACGTTGGTTTCACCAATTTTCGTTAACTTAATGCACGTTATAACTGAACTGGACAAACGAGAGCTAGCCGAAGGCATGCAGTTCATGTACAGTACTATTTTTCACTTAAAAAACGACAAAAATCACAAAGCATTGCAGATCGGCATATAATGGCAAAACTGCTATTATCTGCCGATAAAATCACGGATACCTTAACATTCAGCTGAAGCATAAACAAGATGCTTAGGACTCGAACTCCCCAGTTTGTCGAAACGTTGTAAAAGGACTCCATCATCCAACATGAAGCTAGTTTAATAAACAATGAACCTAAACTAATACAGCGTAAACAAACCTCGCATGCAACCCACTCCTCACACACGCGATTTGGATGGCAAGATGTTTCCGGAGCGTGACCTTAGCCTGGAAAACATTCAAAACGTTTTTCTCAATTTTGCTCTAGGTCTGCACGCTGAGAATCACAAGAAAAAGTTACGCATAACCTAGAGTACTTTTTATCGCTGAGTAGAATTGGAAATACAAAAGCGTCATTCCACTCGGCCTTGTGTATCGACACTGTAAGAGCCAGAGCCCTTGATTTGCCTAACATGGAAAAATTACTCCGAGCAGCAGCGTGTCACTGTGCTCAGCTCTTCATTCACCTTCTAGAGAAATGTGTAAAGATCTCAATCTCCTAAACCTTAGCTACAGCGATATTTTTTACACAGTTTAGAGATGATACAGCACCCACGTAGACAGACATGGCTTCAACTCTTCTCTCTAAATCGGGAATGCAAACCTATCATCCCTTCAATTTTTTTCCTATCCTAAACAAATGAGCCTTTCAACTAAGATTGAATACTAAATAGTAAATCCATTGTACCCAGCTACTGTCATTTCCATTTGCCTTGGTAGAGCGGAGCCTCTTGTAAGGACTTGATCTTCAAACGATACCTTTGCCCTCTGGGGACAGCTTGCGAGGGGCCCAAACCTGTATCTCCAACTCTTTTGGGCATGTCGTAGTATATATAGCCAACCAGTGTGTTGCATAGTGCACACCGAAGTCTTGTTCGTTTCCGTTGGATTCCCCAAGAATCCAAAGAGTCGAAGAAGGGAAAGCACCTGTTCTCATGTTGTTGACGAAACTTGCTCATATCTATCTCCATGAACGACAATGTTCCTCGATTCCCCGCTTGAAAGTAGGTGTCGTGAGGATACAACATATTAGAGCTCACATTCAAATAGACTCCACACTGCCTACAACTGCACACGTCCAACAACGTTTTGTTAGCGGCGAAGTTAAGGACCCATAAAGATTCAATAATTCATTCCATAAATATGCAGCATGTCAATTTCCTTGAGTGATTTTGAGCGAATTGCGTTGAATGCCTCTATTCCTTCTTCAATTCGACTCTTCCGTTCTGTTAGGAATGAATGTCGCAAAACCGAAGGAAAGAGATTGAAGAATAATAGTCAAAAGATACTGAAAATGAATGCAGAACAGTGAAGGCACTTTTTTTCTTGTGACTAATATTTGCAGATATGGAACTTCATTGCGACTGAAGAGACTACCTCAAGACACGGCAGAAATGCGGTAATGTATCTAGAGCAAAGCTAAAATTGACATAGTCTTAGCAAACAAGCATTAGGACTGTAAGGCAAAATTTGCAATAACTCTTGCTTTCGAGGCTTCTTATGATTCTTCTCGAAAGCATCACGGTTCATCATCGAGCAGTGAGTGAGTCATGTCAAATCAGAGTGATTTATGTAGACTTAGAATCAAATCACATACTTTCACTTGAAAAAATAAACACCTCTAGGAGTTCTGCAGGAATATCGACAGGTAATTAATCTGCTAGACTTGTATTGCCAGGTTTGAATCTAAAAAGTGAAATCATCAGAAATGTGTACGAGACAGTTCTGTGGTGCGAAAGACTTCGAGTAATTTCAGGAGACTATGTTCATCTACCGATGTTTAAGCAACAATGATATTCATTACTACAACTCGTGCGGATGGCCGCACAGGGACTTCGATCTGAGAAGACGAAAACCCAGATCGAGTTGTAGTGATGTTAATTCTCCTGGACCTTTTGGTTTTCTAATCGGACATTACAGGCAAACTATTGAAGAGAGGAGAGTATCACTGACCAGTACGTGGCGTCCGCCATTAGTATCGAATCTGAGAATCCGCCAAACCTCCTAGAAGCTGTAGCAGAACGCAGCTAAAATGCAAAACAGCTCCAGCCAGACAAGATCGATGATCTTCAGAACGATAGGAACTATTCTTCGTTGCCGGACGGTCCCGAATTCATATGCAGGTCCGTGTTAAAGTCTCGGACAGAGAGTCACGCGGTCCAAAAATCCATATCAGACCATCAGCCCCCCAGCACCCCAGCACACCCGTGCTTAAATTTCCCCACGCAGAACTCGTACAAACCGCCGACGAAAGTGAAGCGGAAAATGTACCGTGCGCATCAAGATGAAGGACTGAAATCCAAGGGATCAGAACACCAGAACGTCGGACTAAAGTCCAGGGGATCAGAGCGTGGTGCGGTTACCTTCTTGCAGGCCGCGAGCAAGCAAAAGGGATACCGAAATTTTTACAGTTGAACAAACTATTCTCCTCGCTGGAAGTCCAGAACAATAGTATTCACTGCAGCCTCCTGTCGTGCCAAAGTGAGAGAAAGAAGCCAGGCCGAGGAATAATTCTCCAGAGCAAGCAAACCGGAATTAATTCTCCCCACTACTCTATAAGCTTTCTGCGTCTTCATCAGACACCATACTCCTGAAATTAGTGTGATCCTTCATCCCCTCTCCAGAATATATCAAACGAGAAGTGCGTACGTCCTGTGCCGAGTGCGAAATCTACCACCGTGTTATACTCTAGAACCGATCCTCTGCGAGACTAAGAATCCCTTCGTCGACGATGAACGAGACTCGGGCCCAGAAGAAGTTACTTTCATCTGACTGCCGAAGGTCTTTCGAGAGACGAAGGCAGGGGAAGGATTCTTCAAGAAGCTAGTCAGACGGCGCCAGCCAGCCAGTCAGCCTGCCGCTGCCAGGTGGTGAGAACAGAAGATCGCAGCGGTCCTCCTCCTCCTCCTCTTGGCCAAGATGCTGCGCTAGCCAGAGATAGAGAGGAACGCAGAGTGCGCATCCATCCGCGGGCAGCAGGGATGGATGCTTCCCCTCATACCACTGGTCGGGCTGGGGTAGTTCGGCCTTGTGCACCCACACACACAGGGAATGAATGGAGTGCAGGGGAGCGAGAGAAGGCGAGAGAGAGATGGAGAGAAAGAGAGAGAGAGGGGAGGGAGGAAGAGGAGACGAGAGAGAGGAGAAGTGGAGAGAGGGAGAGCTTGTTGGAGGATTCCCAAGAGCATCAAAATGCGCCTGATATAGGGCGGTGTCAGGCAAACCCGGGCTCTGCAAAGAAGATGATTGGGGGACTCATGACTGCAGGACACCGCTGGGATTTACTGCGATCAGTAAGTGCACCTGTTTTGTTTCGACTGCTCTCTCGCCTAAAGTAAGGTGCGCTGCACTGCAAGTCCACGCTGTCTGGCAATTCGCACCAGTTCGATCCCACTCCGTTTGTCTGGAGTGCCAATGATCCGCATTTTACTTTCCGATTATTCGCTCCCCTACTATTTCTTACATGACCTTTAGTTTATTGTATCTTGAGAGCTTGCGCCCCAGTCAAAGTCCCACTCTTCATGCTTCTAGAAACACCTACCAATCTTTCCTGGCTGGCTGCATGTTCATGTCGAGAGCTCACGCTGCCCATCTCGTTTCTTGGCCGATATAGCAATCTTTGCCTCCGCGGTCTCATTCACTGATTCCACGCCCATGCCCTTCGCTTTGTAATGATTCGCATTTGTTGAGAAACTGTGCGATCCCATCGCTTTTACTGGCGCTCGCCTCCGTTACATTACCTTAATCCATGTAAACCGAGACCGAGACCCAACCTCACGAACGGAGCAGCGTTGGGCCCGGTCCATCCAATCCGCTCCTGGGGTTTCGTCCATGCGATTGCCCCACACGTTTTCATTGAACGGATTGGTACGTTTCGAAGTTGCCACGCCCAATTCTTGTGTCACCCAAGTCCATTGCGAGAGCTGCATCCGTCACCAAGCAATCCCGTCTTATTTGCGCTGCGCAATACCTTCTTGAAAGACTTCACCCATGTACCTGACAGTTAGAATCGATAGCTCGAGCAGCAGGCCGCGGTTTGTGGTTGTGAGACTCACACATGCTGTGGAAAGTACGCACAAGGTTTTTCAAAAGACGAAACATCATGGCACTTTCGAAGCTTGCTCCACTTTCGTTTCCGGTACATGTACAGGAAAGACTGTGTCCTTGCAGTCTTTCCGGGTACGAAAATCAGGTCAAATTATTGGTATGTGTGCTCTCGTTATTTTCTGTAACATCATCATCATTGAAAGCATGTCATTGAATTATTCAGTCATGGGCAGAAGTATCAAATTTTAAAAATTCGCATGACTTGCAATTGTCTTGCAATGTTCTCCCCCCATACCGCCCACTGGCTCCGTAGTTTGATTAAAATTGTTAAATAAGCACATAAAAGCTTATCTTTTCTTAATACCACATAAAAGGTAAAGGTCGGATCAAATCATGAAGCTTCTTTGCCCGCTACGATGGTTGATTTCCTTTGAGTATAAAAACCAGACCCAGATCATATGGTGCATTTATTTTGTGTGTTTGTTCAGATTCATTTCTCCCCTCATGTACACACAAAGTGATGATGGTCCATCACCGAAGCTGGGTAAAATGTACCTCGTTTCAGAGGTAAAATTTATCGGACCTGTGTTTCTACCACTACCTACAGTAGTGAAGCTCGAGGTGCACATGGTTCTACCCAAGAGGAGTCAGGGCTGATCGTGGATGCACATCGCAAACGCTTTCCGTTTTTCAGCATTCTCCGTCGCTCTCTCCCGCTACTCACTCTGTTACCGAACAAAAGATTCGGCTTCTGAAGAGGCAGCCTTGGTGCCGTAGCAGAAACGAAGAGAACCGGAGATAAATGAAGAAAGTGGCAAATCTGAGAGCGTTGAGAGGAGTTTGTACAAAGATATCGGGTGTAAACAAGTTGATATCACGGACCGAGCTTGATGAAGATGCGTACTGCGTGCACAATGATCGATGACAGGGGTTTATTTTTGTAGTTGTGGGATTTGACTAAATTAAACCATCTTCATGATTTAAGTTAGCAAACAAAATTCTCGTAAAACCTCCTGGCCCGTCACAAACCTACTGGCAGTGCTGTAGTTCCGAAATTCTCTAGCAGGGTCGCTACCATGTTGTTATATATAGTATTTCCAGAGTAAATCGGCAAGAAGTACGAGGAGACTTGCCCTGCAGCTATTCGTGGAGGATAAACATTTTGTGCATAATTGATTAGTTGTGGCCTTCTTAAATATAGTACGAGTCGAATTCCAGTGATCTGTACAATTTTCTCAGGTGTTGTAGCACAGTGCAGTACAGTAGCGAGCATTTCAGCTTCTGGTTTCAGGGCAGTAGTAGCTGCCGAAGTTGTTTCATTGCTTGTCAGAGCTCCCAACGGGAGCTTGGGAGTTGAAGCTGCGAATCAGTCTTCTGTATAATAATGCGTGGGTGTTCGGTAAATATTCTGGAAACTTGGAGGAGGTTGGCTCCTACATCTTCGGCTCTGAATCTCTGATGTCCAATCAGCCTCCGTGTGGAATATAACAGAGAAACAGAAGCAATTTACATCTTACGCGCGTCGTTTTTCAAAGCATTGTACGCACGTCACTACGCAAGCTGTATTTTGACTTTCAGACCCTCTCAATCTCAAAACCTCTTTTACCATGATTGATCTCTGCCCTTTTCGTGAGGTTCGGAGTGAATGAAAGTTTTAGGGGTTGGGAGGGAACTGTTGGCATGTAAACCTTAATTTACACATGCCTATAAACCAGCCAGCATGTCCGGTTGCACCGTACTTCGTAACCGATACTGCTTCTGCCTAACTCAGATGCACAAAGTGGATGATTCCCTACTTCCTAAAGATTGGTTCGAAGTGGATGGAAGGAACCCGTTGAAAATGGTGGTACGCAAGTCCCTAAGCGCCCAGAGTCCACCGCGGTCATCCATCACGCTGGATGTTCGTTTACTGCAACCGAAGTCTGAATTCATCACTAGCTCCGGCAGATCCGGAAAGCAAGAGATAAAGCGCAAAGGAGTTTGTTACGAGGCCCACAGGTGAACAAAAAGATGACGAATAAATATGGTGCAGACTGGGAGGAGAACATATCGGGCAGAGGAGACGAGTGCGTACGACCCATTGCGTGAACTGGCCGAGCATTCGGGCGAGATCGGGGGAGCTGAGGCTGATTCGCGGTCCAAAGGGCCCTAGGGAGCAACGGGCTGTGCTGGGGCTGCCGAGCCCGGAACCTGGCTCAGCAGCCACTGCCTGTGGTTGAACGTTGGATCAGCAGCTCTCTGCCTGTCTGCCGGCCTGCAGTGGGCCGCGCAGGTGAGTCGGATTGTGTTGCGAAGACGGGGTACCGAGAGTGCGTGTCCAGACAGACAGACAGACGAGAATGACAGCGTGGGCGACCTGTTTCCACCCGGCCTGCTCGCACTTACCGCGTCGTGTCGTGGATTCCAGTAATGTGACTCCGCCTTCCACCTCTTCCGCCGACTCGCTGTAACGATCTTACGAGTCACCACGCTCTCCCTGCACGCCCTCCTTGCTCACTCGCTCGCTCGCTTCGAACCGCTTTGGTGGAATGGTCTGGCCATGCGGTCACTCACCGGTGACCACCGCTCGCTCGATCGCTCGCTCGGCCCGCCGGCCGGCCGCCCGACTCAGCTCCCATCCATCGGAGGTCAGTCCCACGTAACAACGCATCCCACCTTCCTCCCGCAATGCCATCACATGTATTCATGGTGATCTGGAGTTGCTACGTGTAGCTAGTAACACGTAGCAACTCCAGTTAGTTACACCTAGTTACCTGGGTGGCCGTGCTGGTGTCTGAGGTTGTTCGCAAAATAGCAGCAGCAAACCTGAGGGTGATCCTGCCCGGCCCAGGCGCCTCCTCCACCTGTAGCTCGATCCACGTGGCTGGTGGCCGAGCAGGACACGACGGAGGGGCACAGGGAATCGAGTGATGTGGCATTTGGCGATGTCATTTTCGCGAGCGCAAGGTGGAATCACTTCCTCTCTGAGTACCTTGCGGATGTGCATGCTCTGACTGGGGCATCTGCATCGACCAACCCAACGGACCGGACCCGGAAGTCAAGAGCGCGAGTGGGCTGATCGTAATGGTCGCTGAACCCCGAATGACGAGCTCCCTGTTGGAGGTCAGATCGTGTCCCGGTCCCGGGTGAACCCTCCGACGGATGCGGCACTTTCCGTTGCCCTTTCGGCCAACAAACCCATTCACGCCATTGCTTTGTTGCTACCTAGCTGCGCAGTAGCTGGTTTCCGTTACAGTTCCGTTTGCCGGTTCAGGTTTTTGACACGGTCGGCAAAGGGCGGTATGGGTACAGCTGCTGCCAGCGGCGTCCTGAAAGACTGCGGGCTTTGTCGCGACTTGGCATCAGTCTTCTGTTGACTGGGAAGAGCATCGGGCGCAGGTACACGTGGACATTGTGGAGCTTGAAGCGGAGCTCTAAGAACCTGATGGGACAAGGGCATGTGGACTCTGGCGGATTGAGGAGGGGCGCCAATCATATTGTGGATGGATGGTTCGTCAAGTTGGACGGATGGACGTCGTACAACGATTTGAATTCTAGTTGGGACTCGGGAGTTGTCCTCGCCGGAAATCTGAAACATCGTCCGGGGGTAACTCGATTGGGTCCTTTCCGAATCGTGCCTGGAAGAACGTTCGAGATCGGCTCTTCTGCCTTCGGCCCTCCGCAACCCCGTATCGAAGTCCCTTCCCCGTTTCTTTCGATCAGTCTCTTCCTCAAGATTTAGTCGTCTCAAGTGACGGTTAAGCTTGCCAATTTTCTTCGCAATATTGTGGTAAGTAAAACTGGCAATCACGGAATACCCGGTTTGACTATTGGACTCGGATTGTAGCCCTAGCTGAATTCTGTCGGCGTCAGTTTTTAATTTAAAAATTAATGATGATCTGGTTTTTGACTTCACAAGAACGATCCGATTCCTGTGAATTCCATCGTCGATAAGATTCTCATAACTCCCTGACTCCTTTCTGAGATACGTGTAGAACTTTGTATAGGATGCAATCGGGCTGTAGGATTCGACAATGACCGGAAAGCTAGCTCCAGACAAGCGACACAAGTTTGTACACAACCGTAAGTGCGACTTCTTACCTTCTCCGCAGCTCGATGCTTAGATTTCTTTCTGCAAGTTCACAGCTCACTTCCATTCGTTTGTTTTCGTGGTAAACTGTCGGGTACAAGTCCAAATTGTCAAGATTCTTGAAGGCCTCTGTGGAAATTATGTAGCTTAGCCACTCGCTTCATGCAACAGTACCTTCGGCGTCAGTAATGTGTGTCGAACCCTGTATATACCTTGAATTTCAACAGAGGGAATGTGCACCTTCTCTGATATTGCGCTGTTGGATGGGATCATATCATTGCGTTACTCAAATTCAAGCAGGACTTTCACTGCAACCATTAGGTTATTTGAATCACTGACAGAGGCAAATGCTGGATAACAGAGCAAACTGTGTACGAATGGGATCAGACACTGGATGAAGTAAATATTTATATACCTCTGCCACCGAATGTGCCATCACGAATGCTCTACTGCACAATCAAACCACAGCATTTGGAGCTTGGAATCAAGGGCAACCCACCGTACCTCAATGTGCGTTCTCACGAGTGACAAGCATTAGTTTATCTGATTGGAACTGGTCTATGAATCACCAAACGTTATGTTCAGTCGTATGTTTAGGTTGGTTCTTGTCATTTGTAAACACTCTTCGCAAACTCCCTCATTATCTGCTTCATTTTGAAATGCAGCACGACTTAGCTGGGCCCGTGAAGCTGGATGGATCATTTTGGACGATAGGTGCGGTTTCACTCCTTGTTTTCATCCTTCGCCATATATTACCATAGCCAGAAAGTTTTTTCTGTACTAAGTTCAAGGCGGTGCACAGGATATCACGCCAGCATTTGATTGAGCAGTTGAGAGTGTTTATGAGGGCCTTTACTTTTCCTAATCGAAATGTAGAATGACATGACAAACTGTCCAGGCCAGCCCAACAGGGCCATGGGACCAGAATAGTACCAACTGATGGACGCTCAACCCGACGCCTTGTTCCTATGTCACTGCACATTGCAAGTGCCCAGGGCACCCACATTGTCATATATTACTTGCAATTCACCCTGTCTCTTGGTTGTCCCTGAGGCAGATATACTTTAGACAGGCAATACTTCATTCCGAGGTGGATATCATTTGATTACAGTCCTCTGACACGTGATGTGCACTGGATCCCCTAATATCGGTCCATGTTCTTGGTTTGAGTTATCGGTCCTTCGCATGAGTCGTTCAGGTCAGTAATACTGATAGGCTCTTGTATACAGAGGATGACATTATGCACATCACTTTGCATAAACGAGAGAAGGGACAACCATGGCCGTCAGCGATAAGTGGGCATGGAGAGCTCGATCCTCTTGCAGTCGACCAGGAGTCACGAAGACTGATGCTTGAGCGCTTCCAAGAAGAGGTATTGGGGATAGCATCCACTTCAGTTCTTCATTTGCGTTCCATCCATGCTTGTTTGTTGCCGAACAAGAATGATTGCAACACCCTTGCACCGTTATGAACGTTTGCTTCGGTTGCAAATTATGCTTTGGTTGCAAAGTAGTTCCAATTTTCTAATTTATCGTGTCTGCATATTTGAGTGGATAGTATCGCATCGAACTCAAGATAAATGAACTAATGTCTCTCAGTGTTTAGTACATCACTTTTCGTCCTTGTTATCTGCTAATTCGATAGCTGTCCGAATAACTGTCCTTTTCTTCCAGCCACTATTTTCAATCTTATAGTCTGTTCAATAATGGGAGACCAAATAGAAACCTGAATTCTGACTTCATTTGTCAACGATACAGCATCCAGGGTTCGATTTCTCGCGAGCGGAATTCACAGGAACTTGCCCCAATCCGAAGACATTTTTGGGCGGTATACCACACTGAATCCTCTTGTGGGTAAAGTGCTAATGGAAGGATATCAGCAGGAGCCTGATACTTGTAGGAAATGGAAGGAGATTTGCATGATTTGGCTGCTATAAATTCCATCTTTTGTAGATATATCTCGGATCGTGTGGTGCTGATCGACCAAGACCTCGAAGGTCTTAGAGTCGGGTGGACTTAAGTTAGGAGTGAAGGCCGGTGAAATGGCCACACTTCCTCCTTGGTCATACTTTCAAGCATCAGAGTTGGAGTTCGGCCTTAGAATGTACACTTTTAAAAACTAAATCGCGTTATGATGTACCATGATCTGAGACTGGATTGAAATTTGTTCATGTTCATGTTCTTCTTGGAGCATTAGTATGGTAGGTGTTTGTGTCACAGATAAGAGTATCCCTTAATCGTGCGGAGTGTACTTTTGGCTTTTTGAATGAGTTTTCAGAGGTTTGAGATGGTTAAGGGTCGTGGTCTTATTGCTTGCTGGTGATCGTGTAATTTCCGTAAGTTTTGCGCCTACTTGTGCTGCATAGAATCTCTTCTGAGTTGCACTTCAAATGTATTCAGATCAGGCTAGCTTGGATTTTATCAGCAGATGCATTCAGACACACGCACGAGTTCCTTATCAAGGAAGGGAGCTTTTGAATATCTCAATCGCGTTAAAAGCAATGTCTCAAACTCGGCGCTCTACGTGGAGCGTGAGGACCAGGAAATATGATTCCGGGTTTTCCGTGGTTTTATGAAGTGTTTACATCTGGAGGAACAAATGCCACAACAGTGGTGGGTTGATAGTTGCACGCCCGTTGTGGAAGTCGACCGTCTATGCAACCATGTATTATAAATTCTTGAGCCTCTAGACGTGAGAAAGATTGGATTCTCACAATTTTAAATCTTGACATGTAATTATTATATGCATAATAAGTGAGTAAGTTGTTTATATACTACTCAACATTGATCAGAATTTCACATCCTAGGTTGACATATGACAATGTACGCAAGGCAAGAGGTTAAAATGTTCATGTATGTTTCAGTATGAACATGCTGAAAAGTTCCCCACCTATGGCTTTCAACAAATTTCGCATACTAAGACTTAATCATTTTTTTTATTGGAAGTGCAAGTGCCAGCCTGACAATATAGGACTAAATGCAGAACCCAAGCAAATTGTTTCTCCTTTTGCGGAATTTAGCCCTGGCGTTGGTATGATCAAATAAGGTTGGGGTGAAATGAAGAAAAACAAAATTCACAAACCACTTTTCACCCTGATGTAATGGGTATCTCAATCAGAGTTGATATACATCAATAAGGCATACAATTTACACCTAATTAGTGTATAACACAAGTACATGAACTTTTCTCTTTTGAAATTACTGTCAAAAATATAAATTTTCATCAAAACATCTGTCAAAAGAGTATATAAACCGTCTATTCTCATTCAAAGAGCTCCTCCATCATTTTACTAAATTGACACATCAAGTAAATTACACGAAGAAACCATCAATTATGTACAAGATAGTGTACATACTTCGATTAGTGGATATGAAAGAAAAAAACCTGTACAAGGGACAAAGAAGTAGAATTCTCAATTGTGGATGTAATGACTAATCCTTATACTTAATTTAATATTAAGTAAGTAATTTTTCAAAATAGAGTTAGGGAATAATATTAATCTAAAACATGTAAGGCACATGAATGGGAGGAGGGATGTGACTCAAATGCGACCCGAATAATCAACTGAGAGTAAACAATATGTCAAATTTTAAAGGAAAAAACCTGGAAACCTCTTTTTCCGAATACTGATAGTGAGTTACATGCCAAAGCTTTCTCCTCGGTCTACCGTCTTCTTATCAGCACCCACTGCAATGAAGCTATCTATGAAGCTGAAAGACTTCAATGCAACAAATGTGTAGGAGGATTGTGCCGGATGTGCACTGTGTATAACGAGTCCTATCCTGATGATATCGCCAACTAATTCGCAGATTGTCGCCACAATCTGCGACTGAGTCTTGACTTAGAAGGCAGGATGGACATGACGACGCGTACCCTCCTTTCATCGCTACTTTGCTAATCTGGAGGATCTGGCTCTCTCGGAGTTTATTGTGACATTTGTCAACCCTCTTAGCAGAGATGGCGACAACTCACTTTGCTCAAAGTTTTGGCTGTTCTGCCGTCCACGAAAAGGAAAATATCGGCGTGTACACTGGGCGATACAGTACTGACAGAGCGTGCTTTCCTTACCGTACTTTTTTGGCTCTGGCCTGGATGTTCTAGCTGGTGCAGGCTGAATCGATGCAAATCGTCAGTCTACGTTTTACGGTCATGCTACGTTGCTACATATTTCTTGCTCTGCTATTCTTCACTCGTTTCGAAGGACTCATGAAATTGGTCCTTTGACCTGCTTTAGCTCATTTTAAATGTGACGAGAAAATCAATGTGTCCTGTACAATCACCTGCTCGATTATTTTCTGTCTTGTGATTCCTCTACACGATGATTTGCAGAGAATATGAATTTCAACCTGCGACTCGATTGGCAAGTTGGTTTGTATATTCTTTTGACGGTTTTAAATATTATGTGCGTCTTACACGTGCAATAGTGAAGTATTAGATTTGGTTTGAAAATTGACTTCGACGAGCCCGTTTTAATTCCAGCGTTTTACATGCCCCGAATTATCCGACAAGTTTACATAAAACACATCTTTTTGGTGTGCGTGCAATTTTTTACCAGATGGAAAACATATGTTTGTTACTTTTTCAGTCTTGACTTTCCAAACATTCTTCTAGTTTTGAAATTAAAAAATTACCAAATTTTTCGCCATTACAGACCTATCTTTGGATATATCGGTGACAAGACCAAATCCAACAATATTAGAGTGTGATTTTAACATGATACACAAGAGGCCAATTTACAAATTGTATTGTGACTACTAAAAATTAAGGTTTTGACGGTTGTTTCGATTGGTAGTGCGAATGAGAAGTGGGTCACTATCAATCAATCAACTATGATTGATATGTAGGGAATACTCAATATTAAATCTAACATCTTTCTGGATACTAAATGTGGCATATTCCTATTGAGAATTTAGATCCTGCTGCAAAGTTTATTTCCGCGCGAAGTAAGTATTCAGAGCGAACGTGCAAGGTCCATGTCTGTACTAGACGGTCGAATTGTTCTATTGCCATTTCTAGAGCACTATATTTCTAAGCGTAATACAGTAATTCAACAATCTAGGATTGCAAACACGTTTCAAAGCTGAAGCAACTTCGAAGAGTCCATGCGAAAGACAAGAGAGAAAACTCGTTGGAGGATTCTGAATTTGTTCTTGTAACTGCGATTGAAGCTGTGATTTGCACGGTTTTGAATGAGTATAAGTCTATCTACTCCTCACAAATTACCTGCCACAGTAGAATAACCCGTGGGAATCATGTTTGCCACATCGACGCTGTACAATATTCCAAGCACAATTTATCTCTAATCCACTGGGGAAAAAATAGATGATGCGTATATACAATTGATTTCCTCAATCCTCTGTCATGCACGAAATTCGCACACTGTAACTGATGGTGATACACCTGCTCGGAACTTCTTTCCTTACTACCAGGCAGCAAATTCTGCTCAAATCCAATTATCTCCATTTTAAAGTACCTCCTCGACATCTGTGATTTCATATACGCCAAACGCACATCTAGAACACCACCTCACGCACGCATCCTAGAGAGACTGCAAGCCACTGCAACGACGGTAGTGAGCACAGCGAGTAAGTTTATTGAGTCAAGATTAACACTTGCAGACTTGAAGGAAAGAAGCAGTAGAGAGAAGTATGTTACCTCGAGCTAACCATCCTGTAGCCGCCGGAGATCTCGTCCAAATGGTGCCTATGTGTAATAAATAGCTGGATTGATCAGCTCGACATCCATTGTCCAAAGCGAATGCAGAGCCACTGCATGAAAATCCACACATCATAACTTTCTCGGTCGCAGATCATCTTCAGACCCGCAGCGTAGAACGAAACCCGAGTCCGAAAATTCGGCTCTTTTCGTGAACGAATCGAGATTGGCTCTCGGTTGGCAAGTTTCCAAGATGAACAACGAATCACCGAGAGGACCCACAAAAATTTAAACTTAAACCGAACGGGCGGTTCTTTGACAGTCCATAACGGTCGGGATGGGATTGAGCAGATCAGGTTCTAGAAAGTACAAGAGCGATGCGATTGAAAAATGTTCAGTCCATGTGAAGTCCTGTTCTGCAATGCATATCAAAGGCTTGCTTCGAGGGAAAGTCGTAGTCACATTCACGACAGAAATGATGTCGCTCTGACTGGAGAATATGTTGTGTTAGAGCTTCTTGGGAGTTGAAATCCTGGTCGCACCTCAGGCAAGTGTTGTGCATGGTGTCAATGTGGTTCTGCAGCTCTTGCTCCGAAGCAAATTTCATAAATATGTCGTCTCCTTCGTAGTCGTGGCATTTGTTACAAACGTACACTTTCTTCTTCACTCCCTCGTCGCTCATTCTCGGAAGGCAATTGAAGGGAACCTTGTGCTCCGTGCACCGTCGATGCTGTACCAATTGCTCTCGAAAAGGGAAATTCATATTACATTCGAAGCAGAAATTGTGCCCTTTGCTGCTGGACAAATGTGCGTCGAACGCCTTCCTCGAGGCGAAAATTCTGAAGCACGCCGAGCAATTTAGGTGCTGATCGTATTCATGCCACACCTTATCCAGAACGGAGTCAAATGGCTCGATGCAAAGGTAGCAGCAAACGTCGTCGTCCTGGTCTTCCTCTTGCTCCTCATCGTAACCCTGGCCTAACTCCTCGTGGTACGACCGACGATGGTCGCTGGGCTCGTGCTCGGATTGGAAGTCAGTTTCACAGCGGGAGCAGAGCGTGTGCCGAGGCAACTCTTTCAAGTGATCGACCAGAGACTTTCGGGAGCAGAAAACCTGCTTGCAAGGATCGCACCTGATCTGGTCACGCTGTGATTGGAGTTGCACTTCCGGGCTCGAACTGGCTCTGGACGGGCAGCAATCGCACTCGATCTCTCCGAGACTCGCGGGCAGGTCATTGAGGTTAGCAGTGACTCCAACTAATTCATCAACAGCATCAGAAGGGCGGCGGCGGCTGCTGCTCCTGTTGAGGATACTACTGCAGACATGAACTCTTAGAGCCTGTTTGCAAGGAAAGTCCAACTCGCACAGGGGACAGAAATTGCGAGATCCTGCATCGCTCGACAAATGTTTCTCGGGCGCCGTGCGGGTCGGGAATTGTAGCCTGCAAAGCGCGCACCGGCTGTGGGCCGAGTTATGGCTGTCCATTTCGAGAGAGTCCGAGGACGCCATCCCACACATGGCACGACAATACCCCTCGTCCCCACATCCACATGGCTCCATTTTCTCTTCGGCATTAACATGCTCAGCTTCGACTTGCCTGGGCCTGAGCCTGTGCCTTCGCCCTCCTCCATACAGCTCCTCCGCTTCCTCCTCATCGTGGGTAGACGGACGACTCCAAAACACGCCCCTTTTCAAAAATTGTTCGTCGCCCACCACAACGCCGCTTGGTACGTCATGACGCCAGTGAAAAGAATCCAAGTGACCCGTTTCGTGACGACGAATCTTGACAGCTTCCGGCCACGAAATGGCATGCTCTCCTTGCATCCTGCACACTCAACTCCTACCTTGCCGATGCCCGCAGTGCGTCCGGTCCAGCCTGCGCGGAATATATATCGCCAGCTTCAGTCACTGCGCACACGTCCACGGAAATAAGGCTTAGATTGAATACTTATTGCTCTATCCAAACCCACTCCACATCTGATTGGACAGAGTCATGTTATATCCGACCGCAGCAGCTACAGCTTGAGACCCTCGTTTTGACCCCATGCATAGACCTCGCCAAAAAGTGCACGTTGGGAGCTTAGATTCCTGCGTTGCAGTTTTACAGCAAGTTTTGTTTTGTTCATCACTTGTGCTGTGACAGTTGATCTGCTTTTTGTTCGAGCGAAGAAGGCAAAATCGTTCCAAGTTTAAAATTCATATACAAATATAATTAAACTGCTGTACAGGTCACTCGGTTCAAAGATCATCATCCTTCGGAAGAGAAGACAACGACTTCAACGTGTGCGTATAAGCAAGCGGCCTCCAGTCTGGCCAGTGGAGGGCGGTGAGTGGCAATTGACATCCCATCCATCGCTTTAGGATGCAGAGATTCACCTCAGTTTCAACTCAGAACGAGAAGAGATGAGTAAGCAGCTGATCAATGTTGCGAGCACTGAGCAACTCAAATTGCAAGGGCAAGGCGGCGTTACCTGAGAGCAGTGGCGGCGACGAGTCAAGCAAACTCTCGACGATTACAAATTCTGGGCCGGCAGTCCCAGCACCCACCCTCCTAAAGCTTCAAATGCAATCAACTGCAGCGATATAATTCGAGCTGTGCTGAATTATATCGAGTGGGACTTGAGCTTCGATCACAGACCGACCAGGGACAGGATTGGACTCAAATCAGTGGCGAGACGGAATGCGGCAAGGCGGTTGAAATCGTTGCTTTTGCTATCTTTGATTTCTTTCTGCACGAAGACATTGGAGTGATTCTGATACGTTCCTTCTGTTGAGTCTATGAGAACGTGACACGTAATGAGATCCCCCGGAAATCTTGTCTGTGACACGCGCTACTTTTCTTCATCGAACACGTGGCTCTCGCGTGAGTTCTTTAACTTTGTTACAAGTATCTGAAATTATGTACAGTGCCATAAGCGATAGAATTACCCTATCTATCTATGGGAAGATACTATCAATAGTGAAGTGATAAAACCAAATGCTAACCGTGAGGCTACATTTTATAAGCTATCAAACTACTACGTACACGTCATATAGTAATATATGATTTCAAATAATTGTTAAGCTATGATTTGTAAACCCTATATAACCAAAATTCTAAGTGTGTAATGAATAATTGTGAATTGACATATTTTATATCGATGAAATATGGTATTAGAAGAGAGAATATTAATTCATACTATTATATTTTTGCACACTCTCTAACAAACATATCAGAGTAGGTTTTGATATTCTCATATACTTTGAAATATAGAGTTTGATTCTAGACAATTTGAAAAACCTAAATAATGATCTCTCACTCACAACTCTATAAATGATATATAATCATATTCTCTAATATAATGAGTTTTTTTATAAGTAAGCACCATGTTAACTTCAAGTGAGAGAAACATAAAATGTAGAAAATCAATTCATAATCTAAACGTGATATAACAAAATTCACCACAAAATATTACGTTCATGATAAAAATCAATGCATGAAAGTATACTGAATATGTTATGTGTAATACAAAAACCCTAGAACATAAATATTCTATGGTAAACTTTGGATTATCAATAAACCAAAATTTATCATGTTTATGTACCGATACTTATATGTCATCGTCTATCTCTTAGTTTTTACTTAGAATTTGAGTTTATTCTTTAAATAGAATCTATATTGACACTAATTTAAAAAGTAGACGTAATTATTTTCACAATTTTACAATTAGGGATGATTTTAGCAATATAATACATTAGAGTTCACTCATGGAAGTTGAGAACGAAAGGGTAGGCCAAGGGGTTATGGAAGCTGTGCTTGGTGACCAATGACATTTTCTTGGCGCAGCCGAACCTGCTCTAGCAGGTTCGGCTCGAAGCTCCTATCAAGATCTGTGGTGATATCCATGGGCAATATTCAGATCTTTTGAGGCGGTTTGAATATGGCCAACTATTTGTTCCTTAGGGACTATGTGGATCGAGGAAAGCAGAGCCTAGAAACCATGTGCGTACTACTTGCTTATAAGATTAAGTACCCAGAGAATTTCTTTCTATTGAGGGGCAACCACGAGTGTCCTTCAATTAACCGAATACATGGTTTCTATGATGAATGCAAGCGTCGGTTCAATATTCGGCTCTGGAAGATTTTTTCCGAGTGTTTCAACTGTTTACCTGTTGCTGCCCTCATCGACGAGAAGATACTCTGTATGCATGGAGGGCTCTCTCCAGATTTGAAGAGTTTGAAATAGATCAAGAAAATTGCCTGACCCACAGACAATTGTCCGACCCACAGATGTACCAGATTCCGGGTTGTTGTGTGATCTATTGTGGGCTGATCCCGACAAAGTTGTTACAGGCTGGGGTGATAACGACCGTGGAGTATCATATACCTTTGGCTACGACGTTGTGACAAATTTTCTGCAGAAACACGACCTGGATCTCATTTGTCGAGCCCATCAGGTGGTTGAAGATGGATATGAGTTTTTTGCCAAGAGGCACATCGTCACCATCTTCTCTGCGCCCAACTATTGTGTTGAGTTTGACAATGCTGGAGAGATGATGAGTGTGGAGGATACACTCATGTGTTCATTTTAAATACTCAAGCCAGCCGAGAAGAAACAGCCTAAACATTATGGTAATTCAAATTCTGCAAGACCAGGGACACCTCCACGCATTGTAAAGCCGTATTGAGGCAGCAAGGGCTAGGCACTGCAGTTGTTCTTCTGGTGGGATGAAGAAACCGTCTTGACTGAATTGTCAAGGCAAGGTGAAACTTTGAGTGCTCTTATGCAAAGGGGTTCATTATCAGTTTGAGTGCATTTCTGCAGAGACTAGAGTTAATGAACACCAGCGCAAGGCACTTAGTACCCTAGTATTGGGAGCTGGAGGAGGTGTCTTCACTCGGATACAGTACCGGAGACAATGTCTAGCTCTGTATGGGGATGCTAAGCGCGAAGATTGGTAGGGTATGGGTTGTCTGGTAGGTTTTCATATGAGCTGCATACGGAGCTCTCAGAAATCATTGCATTGTATGTACATTAGTGAAGGGAAACAGACTGGCAACTCGAATCAGTCAGATGACATCATCATGGTGGAAGGAATTTCTTCAGGTGGTGGAGATTTTGAATGCTGCTGAAGCAATCAACTTGGAAAACAGTTAGCTACTGTCTCTTGGCCAAATCGCATAAGCGGTTCGCGGAGAGAAGGAACCCTGGCTGGCCATGGTATTTGCTAGCGAACATGTAAGATCGCTAACAGCTCCGAAGCTTGCTACAGTATGTGGAACTCTTGTTTCTGATAGAATCAAGACTCGCCCAGAGTATGGTCACAGTGTTTTGAATGAAGCCTCCACTGCAGTCCAACAATGGGTGGATGCAATGGAAGGTGCGCGGGGAAGACTGCTGGGTTACAGGCAGAGCACGGAGTCTATATATCATGCTCGATCGATATACAATTCGCTGGGATGGTAGAGGCTTGGGCGGCAGGTGTCACCTGGACGGAGTGAAATCTGCATTACCAGTAGGAGAGAACATTCTGAAGTTGGCCGACGAAGGTGTAGCGCCTGAGGATGTCGTCTTCCACAAGTGTTATTCTACAAAGTCATGAAAAGCAACCTCAGAAGAAGAAGAAGAAGAGCAAAGTGAAATCTGAGGAAGACGTCCTAGGATTGGACGAGGTTGTAGCTTCTGACGAAGACGACGGTGAAAACGAAGAAATTGACTAGTTACTTGAGCAAGAAGCAGGAGAGCAGTGGCAGAAGGCCGAGGTAAATGGAAAAAAGTTTTGAGCTGTGCGGTGATGCCGGAATCCTGCCTTGAAATCTGGTGGGTATATAAGAAAAGATCCAGCACGCACCGCAATTTGGTTCTGTTTCTGACGAGCTGCGCAAGGGACGAGATCTGTATAGAAGGTGGAGATGGAGGAAGAGGAGTTGAGGTGAGTTAATGGCGAAGATGCACTCCGGGGCTGTTGTTGCTGCGGCTGCTGGTGTCGGAGGTGCTACGCAGCAAGAACAATGAAGAACTAACTCACAAATTAATGAACAACCACAACTCGAACCAACATCAAGACTCACGACATTCTGCAAAAAGCAACAACAAGAAGTGAACCGATAAGGAAGAAGAAGAACAACAATAATGCATGGCTTGGTATGCACGTCAGGCTCGACGAGAGAGTTCCAGCATCAAGCTTCAGCTACAAGTAGGATGATGACCGCGATTCAGAATCAGATGGATTAGAAGGAGATAGTCAAGGAGAAAAACGAAGAGGGCATCCGGAGACCAGAGTGATGAAAGCAAAAAACCTGGTTCTTCTCTAGTGAAGCACCGATCTGACTTCTCCAGCCAAAGTGAAGAATGGATTGTTTAGGCGGCGTAAGGATTTGCAAGCGGGAAATAGTCACGGAGAAATACGAAGAACCTCTCCATATATCCGAGTGATGAAGGAAAACCTGAGGATGGTTCTTCTCTAGTGAGGCACGCATCCTACGACTCCAGCAAAAATGAAGAATGGATTGTTTAGGACGGCGGAAGTATCTGCAAACGGCGGAAGGATTTGCAAGTGTTGTTATGGAATTTATTTGAGTTTTGAGACTACAATATGGTTAGTGTTTTGTGTGTGTATACATTAGGGGAAAAACACTAAATAGTGTGGTTGCTATATGTATAAACTGGAACTAGAGTTGAGTTTACTGCATATTATAGCTATTTCAAACTAGTACTACATATTATACTACACATGTAATAAATTTTACTTTTGAAATTTTTCTGATAAAGTTATATAGTAAAGGGTGGGCGTCTCATTCCACTCAATTTCAACTTTGCGTTTCGCAAAGTTGGGAAAGTTTTGCGTTTTGAAAGTCTTTGTTTTTCTAGGCAATTGATAGTGAATGTTGGGAATTTGACAGAGTTGACGCAAATAGATATTAGGAGCAGATGCTTTTTTTCCCATACGACTTTCGTTTGAGAGAAAAAGTGGTCTTAGTAACCAACATTTTTTCAAAGGCATTCTCAAATTTTTTTAGTGATTTTAGAGTGGAATGCAATGTATGTTTCAGTCTTTGTTTTAAGTCTGAATATTATGTTGATAAAAAAGTTATGAATTTGAAGTTAAGAGGTTTTCATGGTTAGCAAATTTTTGCTCTTTGAAAAATTTGTACAGAGTAAATTATTTTTCTATATCTAAATATAGAAATTTAGCCTTTAGAATTTTGTATGCCTATGTATTAGAAAATAAACTATGTGTAAATTTAAATTTCCCGGAGAGATCACATCTATAAAATTTTTTATAATTTTTCAAAGTTCAGGGGGTAAAAAATCAGAAATGGATATCAAAAATTTTGGTTTTTTTTATTCTCTGTTTTGTCATGTACAAAGCATTGTTTTGAGGAGACTTTTTGAGTTATTTCAACTTACGGAATTGCCGTATTAATGTGATGGATTTTTGTTGCTAGCAACAATAGGCGCCTTCTTGAGCAACTTTTTCCCCCTACATAGCGTCGGATGAACTAGCAAGCAGCAGAATCTACAATCCAGAGACATTGACGGTTCTGTTAGGAAAAAATTTGGCTGCTGGCGGCATTCGTCATCCAGATGCCCATTGATGGTGTATGCGGGTTGATGTAGGAAGTGGCCGTTATGGTTGCTGCTCACATCTGGAGAGGAAAGAGGAAGGATGGTGGGATTCGGAGTGGGGAAGTTGATGTTAGTCTTTGGTGGTGGTTCCTGTAAAGTGAGGTGTTTCTTCAGAGTGAAAAACCTGCCGGTGAGAGAACTACCTGAGGAAAAGTGAAAAACACATGTGGAGAGAAGCCTGCGGAAAGTGAGAATTCCGTGGTAGGGAGAAAAAATCTTCGGGAAGAGAGATCTATGAAGAAAGTTGACAAGAAGGTAGTACTAGAGAGGTTGTATTTGCAACCGGATAAGCTTGGCTAAGCGCAGCCGCACTGAGCTGTTCTGATCGACTTAGATATCATATGTATGTGTTCCAGCTGACATCGGTAGACTTACTTCACAAGCTTCATGTTATTGTTACACATTATTTGTTAGCTTGAAACTTCTACTCAGCTGACAACCTCAACAATCTCCCCTTAACTTGTGTCAAGAAGATAATAACTTCTGTAACTTATATTATTACGGGTGAATCTAGATGGATGCCGAACACAAGGTTATTCTCTACACGATATTTAATTAGAATTAAGCTCTATCCATAACATGATAGAGTATTAACATAAAGAGGTAACTAAAACATGCTACCATAGAGGGAACATAAGCCTTGTAACCTATATAATTACTCCGCAAAAAAATCTAGAAAAAAGACTTAATACAAGGTATATCTTTACTTAAGAGTTTATTGGAACTAAGCCGTAGCCAGCACATGACAAAGTAAAAATATAAAGAGATAATTGAAGGTACTATGCTAACAAACTCTACGTGTGCTTCCCATGCACAACCTACATTATAGCACAGTGTCGTCTGAAACTTTCCAAAGTAATCATTTTGATCAACGCATCAGTTGGATTGAGTTTACTGTTAATCTTGACTTAGTTCAATTATCGGAGTTTATCGTTAATCTGACTAGCTCAATCATCAAAGTTCACCTTCAAATTTGACTTGCTCAATCATCAGAATTTAGCATCAATGTTGATGAGCTCAATCATCAAAGTTTACTAACAATCTTGACTAGCTCAATCACTAGAGTTTACCGTGATTCACTAACTCAATCATGTGTTTAGGAACTTCATCAGTATATGTGCTTCTTTTTTATCATTAATCACACAATGATCAAACTCCCTTATAATCATATATGTGACTAGTAATTTTTCCTTGTTAGTATAGAAAATCTGTGAACTCTACCTCTCTTTCAATGATTTAGACCTCATTAAAAGAATTATTCCTACTTGAGAACCTTACATGCTACTAGATTACATATCCTGTAACCCGTAAACATCATTAATTGTCATCCAAAAGATTGTTCTCATTGAGGTCAAAGTCATTTGTATCATTTATCAATAGAGGAAAACAATGTTTTTACATTTACATTGCAGTCTTTTTTAATGTGATCAATCTTGCCACATCTCCAACAAGCCACCATCTTAATCTTAGAAGACTTATCCATAGATTTGAATCTTTACTCCCACCTTTAGACTTGAATATCTTCCTCTATAAGGGCATATTTGAAGTTCATGTCGTGTGAATTTCAACATTCCGCAAATCGGAATTTACAATGTTTGCAAATGGAATGAAAATTGCGCCTTTAATCTTTACATGACAACTTTTCTAAATGTGGTCACGCATGCCACATTGTGACATAAGGGTTTGGAAAGAAACTCATTCGAAGATAAAATATAAACTTTGAAGATGAGACTTCTTAAATATTCTCATATATATATACACTTACTTACTTACTTACTTCAAACACATATACAAAGATAAGATCTTCTCCTCGCCATGAGTGGATTTGTGACATGCCATATATATCTAATGAGTAGTGCAGACTCCAAGTTGTTTCTCATTAAAGTTAACCTCAGATGGCTTTGCAATAACTCATCATGGTTCTAGAAGACTAGGATTATTTCTCACACTCATATTCCAAAC